ACACACGCTGACACACACTTACACGCACACCCACACTAAACTCAAACTCACAGTTCCACACTTCCCACTGACTCACTCACAAATGCCCTTACCCAAAATCTGAGACCTGATGAAATCCATTTTTGCAGTTGAGCGAAGAAGACGATTCAACATAAATGACAGAATAAAGGAACTCGCCACACTCCTTCCCAAAAGCAACGAACCGTAAGCTATTATTTCTTTTCTGTGTTTTTTATTTATTTATTGATTCATTTTTAGGGTATTTCTTGAAGCTAAAATGAAGGAAGTAAATGTTGAGGATAATCAGTTATGAATAAATTAAGTTTGTTAGAGATAGATAATATTCAGATATTGGCTTTTAACGAAAAATAATAAATAAATAGCAAGTAAACTTTTTAATCTGTTATAATAAAAAAATAATTCTAAAATAAGTAGACAATATACAGAATAACAGGAAAATATGAGCTGAATAAAGAAAAGTAGCAGTATGTAGGAAATACATAAATGACAATTTGTTAGGCAATATGGTAATGATAAAAATCATCAAATTGTATAAATTATACATATAAATCATATATTTATTATGCTAAATGTGACCTATGAATGACGTTTTCCAAAATGCCTTCAGATACTTCGAGCTGGTTCGTGATCTGCGCCACAACAAGGGACAGATCCTGAAGGCTTCAGTCGACTACATCAAGAGGCTGAAACTGGACACAGAGTACAACAAGGAGGTGGAGCTGAAGCGAAGAGCCTTAGAGCAACAAAACCGCCAGTTGCTCTTGCGGATACAGGTGAGGAAGGGAAGGGCATAAGGTTTGGGGATTTCCAAAAGGAAACTGGATGGCAAAGAGTTGTAGAAGGATAGAGGATTATATAAGAGACATGAGAGAAAAGGATTTAATTGGAGAAGGGGAAAAAGTATAAACATTATTTTAGTATCTACATTCACATAGGCTGCATTACACTATATGGTACCAAGTAACAAAAATAGTCAGTAGATAAATCCCAAGTAATATTACTGTAAAAGATTAGCTGTGAGATTTTCAACCCCTTTTTCAATATGGTTTCAGGAAGTGTTAAAACAACTTTTGATATGAGGAAAGAGTCAGACCTTATTTGCTTTGAATCCAGAGTAAAATTATAAAAAACAAAAAAACATTTATTTCAGGAACTGGAATCCAAACTTCGTTCAAATGGAATCAAAGTGGAAGAGACCAACATTGACCAGAGTTTGCTGCTGTCTACAATTATTAAGTCAGAGGTGGTAAATAACACAGGGGAACAAAATGAAATGAAGAAGGTGAGGTGTAACTACAATCTCCCTGGATCCCTGCTTGACGTACGTGTGCAGTGCCTCCTTATTTTTCGTTATTTTTTTTTTTTTCTTTCTTTCTTTCACCCCTTCTTGACATAGCAATCACAGTGAATCTTTCGTCTCTCTCTCTTTTTTTTTCTTCTTCTTCTTCTTTTTGCTTAATAAAGCATTAGTTTGCCTGTTTAATAATGCTGATATGGCCATGATTTTTGTTTTCTGGCACTGTGATTGTTATGATTTCCCAAAATTCTACAAGAGCATGGTTTTGTTGCCTTCTTAAGTTCCATAAACAGCTTGATTATTCTTTGAAAACTTCACTATTTAGAATGCACTAATGACCACAATAAGCTGTTGCTTTGCTTGCACAATATCCTAAATCCTGATTGAATTTCTGGGTGCCGCCCCCACCTCTTCCATTTATTTGCAAAGTTTGTAATGCCTTGGCTTTCCTTATTGCATCTTGTCCAACGTATAGTCAGATTTTTGATAACCTGCCCACTAGATAGTGCATAAAACCTTGTTTGTGTCCAGCTTGTATGGTGTTACAGCCCTTTTTAAACATCTTTGGTAATAATGAATGTATAGTCCATGAGAAAAAGAATTCTCGTATAGTGTATAGATAGATTATTACAGTACCTGTAGATTACCTAGACAGAACCCTTTACCCATGCCCTTATAGATTATTGGAAATGTTTCTTTGATATTGCAATAATGAATACTTGTGATTTATATGTAGATATAAGACACACACACACACACACACACACACACACACACACACACACACACACACACACACACACACACACACACACACACACACACACACACACTCACACACTCACACACACACACACTCACACACACAGAAAATAGTAAACTAATAAAAAATAAAAGGACCTAAAATGAAAAAAAAATAGCAGGTACTAATTTACGTCACGTCTTCTCTAACAGGAACTTTTAGACGACTTCACTTCAGCAGGCTTTAATCTGGACCTCATGGATGACGACGGGCCAGCATTTACAAGTGACCCGGTGTTCTCTTCGCCTCAGGTCTCATCTCCGAATTCCTCTCATCATTCGTTTGATGATGCTCTCACTCCAGACTCCATGGACATTGTTGCGTGATCGTGTGCTTTAAGAGCAGTGAAAAACATGCATATCTCTCATTAAAACATGAATTTGTTTTAAGCCAGCTTAGAATATACAAGGAAAAAAAATTAGTACTGTTTGAAGTCACATATTTCTTACATTATGTTCAGCGCTGTAATCATTAAACATAACCATTAATGTATTCAATTTTGATGTAGATAAAACACACACACACATGCACACTCACACATGTACACACACACACACACAAAATAAACTTCTTTCAGTAACTCTCTGTTTCTCCCAATTCTGCTCTTTTGAAATCTGCGATAAGTTTGTTAATTGTATTGTTATCTTTTAAAAATGTTGTACCTCAAAGGTTCATAGAGATGTAAAATTTTGTTGAAATCCTGTAATTGTTGATCTAAATTTGTACAGTACCAAAAAAACTACCGAACCTTCAACTCCCCGGCTAAATGGCTGGTTAAGCTACAGAGGCTTTTGTATGACCTTTTTCTAAGACATTTCTCAGTCTGTATTGATTGGTAAATTCCGATGTTTAGATCAAAAAAGATTATTCAGTTCTTTTAAGAAGTATTGGTGTACTTATCGAAATTGCTGTGTACCTCTTAGAAGAATGTAACTGATAGGTACCTGATACTGAATCCATATTACAGTATATTTTTTGCTAGTAGTCCACATAATTTAATAAATATGATAAGGAGAATTACTAACTATTTTTACTTACATGAAACATTTATAGGTTTTATTTTACCTCGTTGCTAGAGTGTACAGTTTGTTCCTCTGGCAGTTTCAAAGATTTGATAAAGCAGTCAGCAGGAGCACTTAACAATGATCTTATTTAGCACTTTAAACATGATTTTCACTTGCACCTTAATTATTTTTCTCAACAACTTTGAGAACAGTTTTTTTCTATGTTGCTGGCTACATTGAGAGTTGCCATAAAACATCAATTTATTTGTAAATAGTTCTGTAAATTTATTTACTCTTACATTTAAAAAAGAGATGAAATCAAATATTTTTCATGCTTTTTTAAAAGATTTTCCAAAATCGCTAGTATTTATTTTGAAATTTCTTTCAGATGCATAATTTGTTATAGTCGCGGTAAAGATATATTTGACATGGAAAAGATCATAATTTACAAACAAGATTTGAGTGTTTGTTACTTGTACATAAAATTTAAGCAGTGACACACTTTACATGTAAGCCTAACAATGCTTGGAACATTAGTTTTGTCTTGGGCATAATTTTACATTTAGGAAGGTGAAATGCACTATGAATTTCTGAAAATGATGTATGGTTACATATGTGAAACAATGAATTGTTCATATTCTTCTTTCATACACTGTTGCAAAGGTAAAATTGTATAGAACTTATTGTTAAAACTGTGATTTATGAACTGTTAGAAGAGCAAAGGTCGGGCCAGAACTTTACAGTGTTCCTGTTGTTTGAACCCTGACATTTTTATCTTTTCTTTTTATCTCTTTTTTTTTCTTCTTTTTTTCTGTTAGCACATTGTTAGTCTGTATGTGCTCAGGAGTGCATGGATATTAGTGAGAGTATTAGAGTGCATGGTACTGTATGTGATTTGTGCATTAAAGATTCATCTCTGATTCTTACAATATGCTTATTTAAAGGTGTACATAGTTTACATGATCCTTAGTTATAATTTGAATACTTTTTTATGTAGTCATATCATTTTTTTTTTCTTCTTTTCTTTTCCTTTTTTCATGTATTTTTTTTCTCTCTCTTTTTCTATTATGATGAGACATAGGATGTAAAAGCATCAATTTTATATAAACTGTATGCAGTGTTTCCTGAAGATTTTTAACCAGTAGTTGCTTTTACATCGTTTATCTCAAAAACTATTTAATTTTAAGTGTAGCGTTCTTTATTGCCACGACAGTTATAGTGGCAGAAAGTATAGAATTTAACCAGCAAAGGGACGTCACTAACATAGGATTTGGATGACAAATAAAAAGGGTTGGCAGAAAGAAATGATAAAAATTGTAACACAGATCTTAGTACATTTGATCCTCTGAACTACTGGGGACACATTGGATCTGTGGTTTGATAATTTCTCTTCAGAAAGTTTTCAAGGCAAATGTTTTTGTCTCTAGACCAATAAGAATTGGATTCCTTTTTTCTTATCATAAAGGTCCTAATTGTTATTGGATATGTTATATATACAGTATATATATATATATACCGGTTATTTCCCCCCCATAATTTACAGAAAAGTACAGTTCCCAGCCCTTTTAATTTTGCTTTTAACTTTTGATGCTTTGATACCAGCAGATCAAACATTTAATAGAGGCAGTGCCCTCACAGGAAGTCCTTGTAACTAATGATAAGACTGTGAAGACTCACACTAGTGCAAAACCAAGCATGCTGTAGTCATTATTGGTCAAAGATCTAATATTATTTAAGAAAATTATGTAGTGAACCTTGGAATATGGAAAAGAGAAGCCTATTGTTTATGTGATATATATATGTATATATATTTTTCTTTCTTTCTTTATGAGTACTACGTATCTAAACCAGCCTTGCCTTATTTCCTGTGTATGGT